TGGTTGAGCCTTGCTGGTGATGATGTAATGAAGGGCTTTGGCCAATTCCTATCATGGCTCTGCTTGAAGGAGGTAGAACTTTGTTATGTAGAAGAGACTGGCCCAGGCCTTATGGCCCATTGACAAAGGTCTCTCTGTGTGTGTGTGTGTGTGTGTGTGTGTGTGTGTGAGAGAGAGAGAGAGAGAGAGAGAGAAGAGGAGAGAAGACGGAGAGAGAGGAAGGGAGAGGGATAGAGGGAGAGGAGGAGAGAGTGGGAGGGAGAGAGAGAGGAGAGAAGAGAGAGAGAGAGAAAGAGAGGGAGGGAGAGGGATGGATGGATGGAGGGAGGGAGAGAGAGAGAGGAGAGAAGAGAGAGGAGAGAAGAGAGAGAGAGAAAGAGAGAGGGAGGGAGAGAGCGGGAGGGAGACAGAGAGAAAGAGGGAGGGAGGGAGGGAGGGAGAGAGAGAGAGAGAGAGAGAGAGAGAGAGAGAGATTCTACCTCCCTTTTAGGGGAAATATTCTGCCCTTTTAATATTTCCTAAAATATCTGGTTTTCTTTGGAGAGGGGTGGATGCTACCTTCCTACAGTGACTAGTTGCCAAGATAGTTTGGTGGCTAAGCTGTATCAATGTCATCGCACTTAGAGAGGCCTGTGGGATGCGATGTGCCTTGAAACTCCCCCAGTCAGCTGGGTGGAACTTGGTGCCTTGATTCCATTAGTAAACATTCAACTCCTCTCTTGGCTTTGGTAAATAGAGTGTTAACGTGTGAATATGGCAAAACTGAACAGGTTGCCCTTGCCCTTTAAAAAACAAATGTGTAGAGGTTGACATTTTGACAGGTGTAGCTTGGTTGACATCTGGAAGCCAATCTGCCATCTGCCAGAGGGATAATGAAATAAAAGCTTGAAAAACAGAACCCGGTAACCCATTTTACCATCTTTGGCTACTATTTCCTGAATAGAGTGTGAAAAGTTTCAGGGGGGGGGGGGGACACGTTACGTTGAGAAGTGAGGGGCAGTTGGAACACAGCTGATTGGATGTTATGCAATGATTTTCAAACTTGGCAACCTTTCAAATATGGCAACTTTTCAAACCTGACAACCTTAAGATGACTAGACTTCAACTCCCAGAATTCTCCAGCCATGTTGGCTGAGGAATTCTGGAAGTTGAAGTCCACAGTGCAGAGCAGGAAGCACTTAGTTTCTTCTCTTTCTACTTTATGTACTACTAAGCTCACTATTCCAGACACTTTTTGCAATACAACATGTGTTTTTGGTAGAGGGCTTCCTAGATTGGTCTATTTTTTTATCTTCCAGCAGAAACCATCAGGGGTGGGTTGCTGCCGGTTTTACTACTGGTTTGCAACCCGCGTGCAACGCATGTGTGCATGCTGTTCAATGTAAATTGAAGATGATTAGGGGACTGGAGACTAAAACATATGAAGAACGGTTGCAGGAACTGGGTATGTCTAGTTTAATGAAAAGAAGGGCTAGGGGAGACATGATAGCANATCCTCTCTCCCACCCTCTCTCCCCCTCTTTCTTCTATCCCTCTACTCCTCCCTTCGGTGTCTTTCTACTATCTGTTAATATACTCAGCTTGTCCTATTTTTACAGTGGAATTAAAGAGCAACAGTATATACTCACGTTACTTTAAAATCTAACACATACTGTATATCCCCTCTCCCCCCTAACACCCCACCTCCCTTCCCCCCATCCTTTCCATAGATGAAGAGAACTGTATTCTTAGATAGGAATATAGCTCTGACTGAAATTGCCATAGCCTATTGTCACCTCCATGACCTCATTTTCTGCCCATTCTGATGCCCACTGCCAGGGGGTGGAAAACGGGGAACAGAGAGTCCAAAAATGGGATGATGAGGCCAAAAATGGGGCGCGCGGAGGTGGCAATAGGCTATGGCAATCCCTGCAGCCTGAAACAGCTGATGGTCGGGAGGCCAATCCAACCAACAATCAGCTGCTTGTTCTAATCAGGCTGTGCTGAAGCTGAAACAGGCTGTTTTCTGTTTGCTGTAAGGAGGCAAATTGTTGGGAGGCAGAAGCCAAAGGGTGAGATCTGGTGTGTGGGCGGGGCTATATTTGGTGTATAAGACACACCCCAAAAGTGCATCTTATACTCTGAAAAATACGGTAACTGTTTTAAACAATGTTCTTTTCCTCACTTGGGAAAAGGAAGTGTGAGAGGAACAACTCCCCCCTTCTTTTGGTTCTGGTCCTACCTTCCATTGGCCTAAGGCCCTTCACATAAAAAGTGTTCCTACCCCAACTTAAATTCTATTGCTTCCTTTTCCTAAAGATGATGATTGTACCCCATAGCATATTTTATTGGATGCATTAAAAGTGTGTGTGGCTGACTTTACAGAGAACTGTGTGGAATTCCAGAAGAATGCTTCTCTAAATGTGACAGTGGAAAATGGCACCTCTCCTGTCATTGAATTTTGGGAGTAAGTAAAAATCTTAGCCTTCCTTACAAGGAGTGTCTCGTTCTCCAATAGTGGCCATCAGCAATTCATGTGCTTTTTCCATTGAGTGCACTAGTATTGATACGATAATCATTTATATGTTCAACTAGCATAAATATTACCAAATGTCCCTTCACTATTTTCTTACCAAAATCAAACAAAGGTGCTTTATTGGAACATCTTCTAACAAGAACCCTATACAATAATGTAATAAAGACTATAAATCCTTCAGAACATCAACTTATTTTTAGAGGAATGAAAAGCATTTCAGGTAATAATAATAATTATTACCCTACCTTCAGATGTAGGATGTACCAGACTGTGAGCTGAAGATAAAGATAAAATGATAAGATGACTCTATTTCACTTTAGAGAAGCTAAATATTAGCTTCGCTATCTCCGAGGATGGCACCTAACAAGACAGAGAAAGATCCTGTCAATAGTGATGGATGCGCTGCATCGGACGCAGAGATAGAGCCAGGGCTGTCTGACATTTCCCAGTCATCGGAGAGGCAGCTGCTTTTGGAGGCTGATATGAGTGAGGAGGAAGAACAGTTGGGCTTGTTCCAGATGCACGTATGTGCAGAGCAGTTAGGAGAGGTGAACAATGGAGAACAAGGAGTTGACTTGTGAAGCAAAGCACACATGGACGCTGAATGGCCCCCTCCATGGCTGGGGAATAATTAGAAGGAAAGGGGAGTGGTTGTCGTAGGAGACAACAGTTCGTATTTCTGAAGATTTTGCTCATTGTATTTCGTGCCACAGAGACTGCTTACCAGAACTTAATTTGCAGCCTTTTGGCTGGGAGCTCACTGGCCTTGCAATTATCACAAGGAACTGATAAGGTCTGTACTGCAGTTAACTCCTTGAAGGATTATTGCCTGGACTTTTCTTCGGTGGGTGAATGCAATTAATTCACAAGGGATAAATAAAGAAGGGGTTTTCATGACAAGGAGTCTGTTTCTTGCTTTGGCTAATGCTGGGTCAGAACAAATACATATCTCAAGATGGATGCTCCCCTAATGTGATTTTCCCAAGTAATTACCTACTAAATACATGTCTCAAATATTTGGAAAGTGCCAGACAAAAGAAAGCTGTTGCAAGGCACCATGTAAAATAGATTAGGGAGAAAGCAGAAAACTGTTTTTTTTCCAAGACTACAAATGAAGCAAAACGTATTCAATATTTTCATTCCCAGGCGAAGAGTGTTAAACATTTCTGATGGCATAGAACATTTGGGCACAGTGCGTTGGGAACTGTCGCTCTGCCTTCTTCTGGCCTGGATCATCTGTTATTTCTGCATTTGGAAAGGGGTTAAGTCTACAGGCAAGGTAAGCCACTTCACTTCTTTTCCAATTTCCAGATACCTTAATGTCAGGCACAGAGATTCAGGAACATCGGTTAGGTTGCAGCGTAGAATATTTAAGTCAAGATTTATTCCACATAAATCTTATATTGAATAATATAAGATCTTATTGTTTATTTACAAGAATCTGGTCAACTTGAGTTTAGCATCAAATTGGCGCTATATAAGGCTCAACGGAATTCAGGAGGGGTTGGAGAGTTGGTGGGAATGCAACTACTCTAAGCTGATGATGCATTTAACTCTGCCCCCCAACTCTGCCTTTTTTTCCTTCTACACTTGAATGACGATTCCTTAGATTAGTTCATCTTGGAGCCAAATAGAAGGGAACAACCACGACGACCGTGCTCTGAGATATAATTGTTGCAAAACCAATAGGAAAAAGTGACTCTAATGCTATTGTACTTAACATTTTATTTTTCTTTTTTTTGCAAATGGAACATCGCAGGTATGGTCCATCTCTGTCACATATGACTAAAAGGAGATTTTTTTAAAAAAAAAATGAAGGGAGGGACAGAGTGAGATGTAAATAGAAAGAAAAGTGAAGGGGGCCAAATCATAGTGCTTGGAGGTTATTTGCTTATTTGTTTGTTTATTTTATTTATTTATTTATTTATTATTATTTATTTATTTAAGTTCATCACTCATGTACAAGATAACATGAATAAGAATAAACATGAATAAGAATACAGGAAATGGGTACAAATAAATGGGCACAGTAGGACAGGAACGTTAGGCATGCTGTTGCACTTATGCACACCCCTACTGACCTCTTAGGAATGGGGTGAGGTCAATAGTAGACAGTTTAAGGTTGAAGCTGTGATGGTTAGAAGATGTAACAACGGAGTCAGGTAGTGCATTCCACTTTGTTATTGAAGTTGTATTTTCTGCAATCAAGTTTGGAGCAGTTTACCTTGAGTTTGTATCTATTGTGTGCTCATGTATTGTTGCGGTTGAAGCTGAAGTAGTCATTGACAGGTAGGACGTTGTAGCAGATAATTTTGGGTACTAAACTTAGGTCACACCATAGGTGGTGTAATTCCAGTTTGTCCAAGCCCAAAATTTTGAGCCTGGTGGCATAAGGGATTCTATTCTGAGCAGAGGAGCGGAGTACTCTTCTTGTGTGTGTACTCAGTGCATGTAGCTCTGCTTCATATCGAGACCGTTTTCACCTCCTCACCCCTACCCCTTACTTTGTACAAAATACTGTGGCTGTTTGGGCTTTTAAATGTATTTTTCATACATTTTCTGCGCCATTTCCAAGCAACATTCTGCTTGGAGCATCTGGGAATAGAAAGTAATTAGAAAACAGTCTTCTCCTGATAAAGTGGAAGCCAAAATGTGCTTTATTAGATCAAATGAAATAAATGCATAGGAGATGATTCAGTGGCAGGTTCCAGATCCCGTTGCAACCGTTACGTTGCAATGGGGCCGGGCATCCACCACATGAATGTGTGCAGCACGCGCACAGCGCGTGCATGCATACTTACCACCTGTGATGCTCCGCGACACCTCCGTGAAGCCTCCGCGATGCCTCCGTGATACTCCAGCTGCTCGGCGAAGCATCGCGCAGGCGCAGTATGCTCTGTGTGCGTACGCGGAAGCCCTGAACATCTCAAATACAGGTAAGGAGCGTGAGTGGGTGGGCCCTCTGGAGCACCGTACCGGAATGGTACCTGGTGTTTCCAACAGGCACCATTACACCTGTACCGGGGCATACCAGTAATATCCTACCACTAAGGTGATTGTATAGTTGTCCTTTACCAGAAAAGAAAAGATAGTCCAGGACAGATTTGTCCACAATGATGGAAGTTTGCTAAGCAACTCAGGTGATTGGGTTTATACTAAGCCCCCAAATATGTAAAAAAATATATTCCGTGGGCATTAAGATGGCCATATATAGGAGGAAGGAGTATCAGAAATGAAGCCCCATATATATCAGACCTGGAAGCCATCTTTTATATTTGGGCTTTCAGCCCTGCCACATTTTTTATTGTGGGATCCTGACAATATACAACATATTATATAAATAATATTAAATATTTGAATTGACTGCCATTTCCTTTTAAACCCTTGCTTACTCATTGGATACATGTCCTTTGAACATTCTTAAGTAAGTACCGCAACGTTTTCTCAGTAAAAATATTGATTGATAAAACGTATTGCAATTGTTCCACCAAGCTTGAATTTTGGTACCTCATGTGTATAGACACCCTGGACACACACACACACACACACACACACACACACACACACACACACAGACGACTTGATCTACCTTAAAATAGAAAAATACCGAAAGTATTTCTCAACCTAGACAACATTTAAGAAATGTGGATTATTAATTCTCAGGATTTCCCAGCCAGCATGCCATAAAGTATCTCTGTCTCAAACGCTAGATGCCTGTCAGGTCCAAGGCCAAATTGAGTCCAATCCTTTATTTGCTTACACCGAATGGATAGAATCTGGCCAAACTAAAGCCATAACCGTTAAAGTCAAACCCTGATTGATGAAGGAAGAAGGATGCACGAAATGTTCGTCATAGAACATTTTGACTCTTCGGAGTGTTCTGAAAGGGTTTCCAAAGTTTTCTGATCCAGGATAGTTCAGCAGGGCCATTTTTGAAAAGGTTGGCAGAGCTATTTCAAGGCTGGAATATTCCATGATGGAACAGTTTGCACAACTCGCACTTGAACTCGCACTTGAACTAGCACACTTTGGTCATTTGAACCAGCCATGATGAAGAAAACAAGGTTTTTAGCATGATCTTAGAGTCCATCCAGGGAATGCATTACTCTGTCTATGTGATTCATGCAGGCAAAGCTGATGTATTTCAGCATATATTTTTCTGAGAAGATAGTAGTGTTGGAAGAAATGCCCATCTGGGTTCAGTTCCAAGTGGGGAGAAAGAACACTGGAAACATGGAGGCTGCTTGAAAAGATGGTTTAATGGTTGTGGGCAGGACCACATGGTTTGAGATCCTGGGTGGAAAAAGGCACATGAGTGAGAGATAGAGATAGATTTGTTATGAATTGGAGCTTGTATTCTGATTGGTTGTCAGACTCCCATGGGGCCATGCAGGGGAAACTCTCTAGGCGGTCCTGAGTCCCACGTTTGGTTGAGCCTTGCTGGTGATGATGTAATGAAGGGGCTTTGGCCAATTCCTATCATGGCTCTGCTTGAAGGAGGTAGAACTTTGTTATGTAGAA